CGGGGGCCCCCCCCGGCCCCCCCACAGGGGCGGGGGGGGGGCCCAGGGAGCCACTGCGGCCTTGAAGGTCGGCACGTGGCGCCCGGCCCAGGTTCTCCACCACCAGCCTCCCGTTGCGATACACCGTGATGCGCCGCTGGCAGCGCACAAGGCCGGTCTTGACCCCAGGATCGTCTTCGGGAAGCGGCGGTGGTGGTGGTGGCGTGGGAATTGGCGCAGGACCTGCGTGCTTCACTCGCAGCACCCGGCCAGGCTTGACTTCCACAAACGTGTAGCCGTCGCTGGACTCGACGCTTTCCAGAGGTCGCACGGCGTTGGGGGGCGTCCCCAGCAGGCAGCAGAAGAAACCATCTGTCACCCCGGTCAGCATGGTGTGTCCTGGAGCCGGAGAGAAAGGGCCAGCGGCCTGCTCATGCTTCGGGTAAGCAGGACCCGGAGGCCCCTCTCCCAGGTTCATGGATACTGGAGACAGAAGGGGGGGGGGGGGGGGCTTCCAGAAGGAAAGGACATTAAGGAAATGCCTATTCCTGAGGACGCCCATGCTCCACCAGCTGGAGTTTACCCCAGGCTTATTCATTCGTTCACTCACAAATCCATGCCTTTTTGTATGCAATCGTGCGTGCATGAAGGCATGCATGCATGCTTGCACTCTTGTATTCACACATTGATTTATGCAACCACGCATTCAAGCTCATGTAGCCCAGGCTGGCTTGAAAAATCCCTGTGCTTGCGGGCATTGGTGGCTCACGCCTTTAATCCCAGCACTTGGGAGGCAGAGGCAGGCAGATCTCTGTGAGTTCGAGACCAGCCTGATCTACAAAAGAAAAGAAAAGAAAAGAAAAGAAAAGAAAAGAAAAGAAAAGAAAAGAAAAGAAAAGAAAAGAAAAGAAAAGAAAAGAAAAGAAAAGAAAAGAAAAGAAAAGAAAAGAAAAGAAAAGAAAAGAAAAGAAAAGAAAATCCCTGTGCTGCCCAGACTGACCTTGCTCTGGCTTGCACATCTGGAGCTGTAGCAGGCGGGGCATGCAGGTACGCTTTCTTTAGTTCCTATGGCAAATGTCTCTAAAGGCCAGGGGAACTTCAGACTGTTCCCACCTCTGTGTCCCCAAGGGCTGAGGCGACAGGCATGCATCACACAGCAATCCTGGGTTTTGTTTTTGAAACAGGGTCTCATTTTGTAGGCCAGACACTAGCCTCAAATTCTTTGCAATCCTCCTGCCTCTGCCTCTTCCAGTGCTGGCATGACTGGTGTGAACCCCCAACACCACCACTCTTAATAGGGTCTCATTTTGTAACCCAGGCTTGCCTCAACCTTGTGCCCCAGGCTCCTGGGAGCTGAGATAACACACCACCAAGCCTGGCTTCTGTCCTAAATAGTTAAAGTTCCCAGCTCAGGCCTCTGGCAGTGAATCTGACCAACCAAAGATGAGGCCAAGGAAGGACGTTGGCCACGGGGACTCAGGTTTCATCCAGTCCCAAGTCCAGGAGGGAGGTTACTTGAGCTAACAGCAATGAGCATGGCCGGAGGCAGCTGCCCTCAGCAGCACCCTGACACCCTGTGTTGAGGGGCGACCACAAGCCCTAGTGGCAGCCAGGAGGATGAAGGCAGGACCTGACTAGGGGCGTCTGGGCCTCTATCCGGTTCCCTTGGCCACCCCACCCCCCGTGTCCATGACAACCACAGGCGGTTACATAACTCCAGGGGATACCGGCGCAGAGCACCCCCATTGTCTGAAGCACGGGGATGGGGCCAGCTTCATTCTTCCTTCACCGCCTGAGCACCGCTGGGGTGATGCTCATTAAGTACCCGGCTCGTGGTGGCCCTGGATGCACTTGAGGGAAAGCAGGCCGTGCACCCACCTCTAGGGCCCTGGAACCCCGAGAACCGAGGCCATAGTGCCAGTTCTCAAGTCCGACCCGCTTCTCCCGGCGCTCCTCATCCCCGCGGTGGGGTCAAGGCCATGGGGGTTCCGCAGCATCCTAGCAGCGCGAATGCGGAGACTGGCGGTT